CAAGCTGATCGCAACTCAGGCAGGGGTTTGGGAGCTTTTAGGGTTTATAGGGTTTAGGAACGTATAGGGTTCATAGGGTTTAGGAGTTTAGACGGCTTATGGAGGGATTTATAGGGTTTAGGCCTGGGTTTGGAGTACCATACTTGAATACTTTTTCGCCGTACCTGCTCCTGAAAGGAACCATTATGAAACGAAAGTCTATACTTTTGCTCCCTGGTGACTCCAAAGTCCAGTAGGAATGTAAAGGGTTTATAGGGTTTAGTGTTTAGGAGTTTATTGGGCTTATGTAGGGGTTTATAGGGTTTGGGGTGGCGCCGTAGTTCATGGACGCTTTCTGAAAGCCTATCAGTATCAGCTCTTGCTTGCTCAAAGTGCCTGTTATGACTATTGCATATGTGAATGCATAAGCTTCTGCATATACATAAGCATGCATATATGAGCTTCCTTGTGTAGTGTTTACATATATGATTGTGTACTACATACGTACATATGTAGGTAGGTATGTACGCACGCATGGGTGCATGTATGCGTGCATAGATGCGTGGATGTAAGTCTGCATGCATGGATGTGTGTAATGTACGCATGTGTATATGTAATTAAGTATGTATGTATATTTATGTATGCAGGGGTATCTGCGCGTGTACCCTATGCCATGTCTCACTCCCTGCCTTTTTCTCTTTCCCTGTCTCTCTCTCTCTCTCTTTGTCTCTCTCTCCCTCTCTCTCGGTCTCCCTCCATTTCTCTCTATATGTAGATATATACATATGTAACGTACTTTGTGTATACATACATAATTACATACCTACATACATACACTTATGCATGCATGCATATACTACAACAAACATATGTAATCAAAATACATGCACGCATACGTTATTCTCAGTCTGAAGCCCCTCTGCAGCATACCTTTCTGTGTACACACACATATGTATATACATAAACATGTACACATGCACGTGGGTGTGTGTAAGAGCTGCCGAAAGTAGGGCACCGGGAGGTTTGGTAAAGGTGTCCTAAAACGTACGAGTTCACGGCTTAACCCCCGGTGTTCTGAGGTCTCGGGTGTTTCAGGGTTTTGAAGCTCAAGGGCGTAGTACAGGGGACGGGTAGGGGCGGGGGAGTCTTTGCTGGACGGCCGCGTTTTCGGTCCTCAACGTAGTGGCAAGCGTAGCATGGGTACTCCAAGGAGGCATGCGCCGGATGGTACGATGCCATGAAGCTCAGGGTAGCACATGGTAGGGGTTCAGGAATCTCAGCCAGAACCTAGCGCAAGCCACACCGACATGAATCTACGCGACGCCAGGTCAACGCCTCTAAAGGTTGCCTCAGCGAGGAGGATGTGTGCGACGGCTTCTGCAATGCTGCATGGCGGATATTCATGGGCGATGGCTTCAAACTTGCACCATAACATGCCGAGCTGTCAGCTGAAGGACTTGTAGGGACTTCTATTATAGTATATACGTGAAGAGTTCGAGGTGTGACAGTTCGAGACATGTCGAGGCCTTGATGGGCAAAGAAGACGGCCACAAACCTGTGGACGCACAATGCAAGGAGAAGTGCATGGTGACTTGCCCGAATTAGAGCCACCTGGTCCTTCAACCTCAGATTCTTAAGCCTTTCAAGCCGCAAACCCTGAACCTTTGCTTGGGCCCGGCACGCATGGCAACGAGGGAAATTGGTGCATTTTGGAGTCTGTGTCAGAGATCGCCTTCATATCATCTTCTGAAAATAATGAAGGTGTTTGTATCACTTTCCTGGCTGAAGAGCTACAAAGAAAATGGCCGAGCCAGTCGGCGGACTTGAACTGTATGATATACTTCTGCCTGAATCACAGTACCCTCTTTGAAAACTAGCCTTTGTAAAGAATCGTGGGTCCTAGCAGAGAAAACATGCCACCTCCAGAGGGTACTTCACATGAGGGGCTGGGTATGAGCTACGGCTCAGGAATGCGATTGTTGTATTCTGTGCTCGAGAGGTTGTGCCAGCATCTGGGAGCTCATCCTTGCATGTTTGGCCTGCCTCAGATCTGTCCGGGATCCAATGCAAGCCTTAATCTACCGAAGCTCATTTTCTGTGTGGTACCGATGAATTCTACTAGGGTTTATAGCAAGCACAAACAGCAGGTGATGGTAGTTGAAGGAGATTCTGTGATGCCTCGTAATCGCTCAGGCCTGTGCGGGCGACATTGCAGATGCCTTGGACCACTTCTGCGATTCCTGCGAACCAGCTCCTCGCCGAAGAGAGCAGCACAATTGCAAAATCAACTGCAGGTCACGGTACGGTGCCGGCCATACTTACCGACACTTATGTGTGGATAGGTGATGACGGAACTGCTCATGGAAAGCATCAGGTTTCTGCATGCTGTTGTATAGTTGTCGTGAAGCTGGGCTGTCTCCTGTCTCGTGCTGCACCCTGGCCTTCTGTTTCGAGGCTGGCTATCCGACTGAGACCACCAGCACCACGGAAGCGGAGTACCAGACCACCACCACCCCCACTACCACCACTACCACCACCACCACCACCACTACCACCACTACCACCACCACTACCACCACCACCACCACCACGACCACCACTACCACCACCACTACCACCACTACCACCAGCACCACCACCGAGAAGTACTACCCGACCACCACTGAGGAAGATGATGACGACATGACCACCACCGAGCCCGAGACTACCACCCTTTATCCTTCTCCTCCTCCGGGCTACCCAATGCCCAAAGACGATGACGATGACAAGGATGATCCAAAAGACGACAAGGACGGGGGCCGTCGCCGCCGTCGCCGACGCAAGGGTGGCGATGATGATGACGGCGGACGCCGCCGCCGTCGCCGCAAGGGTGGAGATGATGATGACGGCGGACGCCGCCGCAAGGGAGGCAAGGACGACGACGGCAGTCGTCGCCGCAAGGGTGGTGACGATGATGACGGCAGCCGCCGCCGCAAGGGTGGTGATGATGATGATGGCGGACGCCGCCGCAAGGGAGGCAAGGACGACGATGGCAGCCGTCGCCGCAAGGGTGGAGATGATGATGACGGCGGACGACGCCGCAAGGGAGGCAAGGATGACGATGGCAGCCGCCGCCGCAAGGGTGGTGACGATGATGACGGCGGACGCCGCAGGGTTGGCAAGGACGACGATGGCAGCCGTCGCCGCAAGGGTGGTGACGATGATGACGGCGGCCGCCGCAGGGGTGGCAAGGACGACGATGGCAGCCGTCGCCGCAAGGGTGGAGATGATGATGATGACGGCGGACGCCGCCGCAAGGGAGGCAAGGATGACGATGGCAGCCGCCGCCGCAAGGGTGGTGACGATGATGACGGCGGCCGCCGCAGGGGTGGCAAGGACGACGATGGCAGCCGTCGCCGCAAGGGTGGAGATGATGATGATGACGGCGGACGCCGCCGCAAGGGAGGCAAGGATGACGATGGCAGCCGCCGCCGCAAGGGTGGTGACGATGATGACGGCGGCCGCCGCAGGGGTGGCAAGGACGACGATGGCAGCCGTCGCCGCAAGGGTGGAGATGATGATGATGACGGCGGACGCCGCCGCAAGGGTGGCAAGGACGACGGCGCATGTTCGCGAAAGTGTGCGGGTTCAGTTTGGCCATAGGGCCATAGGGCCGTTGATCCGGTTTAGTGCTTGGGTCGGGGCTTTCTTGTGGTGTGGGCGTGTTTTTCGGTTTAGGGCTCCCTTGGGCGTAGGGCGTGCTTTTGCATTTTGGCCGTGACGTCCAGCGCGGGCTCACTGTTCAGTCAACATTTCGCAAGGACGACGACGGCAGCCGCCGCCGTAAGGACGATGATGGCAGCCGCCGCCGCAAGGGTGACTACCAGCCCATTTACTTCCAGCAGGAGTGAGACGATTAGGAAGATGGTTTTAAGGAGCATGCCGCATGTTTGCAGACTTTTTTGGCAAGCCGGGGCCAGCGCTTTGTACTTTGCAAGCAAAGACGACCCTCCACCAGTTAGACTGTTCACAGCTGTTGTGGTGTCCGGCCTGTCAGCCAGCTCCGAGAAGTTTTCCCTAACCCCCCAAACCCTAACCCAACACCCTATTCTATTACTCTATCCTGCGGTCCAGCTCTCAGCTGAGTGCTTGTAAGGCGAGGATCCGCTTGTCCAGTTGCACGATGTCTCTTAAGATTGTGTAGACAGAGAACCGTGGCCTGGAACTACTCCAGTCACCACGATTCTGTCACTTCTGAGCTTCAGAGAAAAAGTAGATCGAGCGATGTCTGCACCCCTCGCGATGGCTTCGGAGTTTGATCATACGTAGCAAAGCCCCTTGAAGAATTTGCATTCTGCAAATACCCAGACCCTCCAAAATCCCCCAGTTAAGGACTATATGCCGTAAATCATGGTAGGATCCCTAACAGGACGTAAGGTATATTATATTCCTTAATTCAAGGATTTTGGAAGGTCTGGGTACTCGTGGATCATGTAGGGTTGGGGCTCAGCTTTGCCACTCCCAGGCTTCTCCAAGAAGATCCAACTCCCGAAGGATCCGTGTACCCAAATAGTACATACTTAGGCCCGAACGTACCAATATAGGAACTATTTTAAGCCCTAAGTATACTTGGCGTTCTTCTGGTTGGCTCTTCGGACTTTTAACTTTTTGGGTTTCTATATGAACGAAAATACGGAGGCTAAAAGTTTAACTTTTTGGAGGGTTTCAGAAGTCAGCCAAGTATATACTATTTGGGCACATGGATCCTTAGGGACTCACAATCCAGCCCACAAGATTCGCGCGAGCTCCAATCCCGAAACCACCGTACGCTTCCTGAAAGGAGGAGTTCGGCAAGCCCTCACAAAATCCATACTTGGAGGATCATGGGACTTAGTAAGTAGGGTTATAAGTACCTTAATTGGGGTTAAAATTAGATATAACTAGAGTTACCTTACTTTTAACCCTACTTACTAAGTCCCATGGTCCTCTAAGTAACCCGAAGGCAACTGTCCCCAAGCTTGATGGCACATGTCGGGACTCAGGAAGCAAAATCGCAGCCATGTGCTGCCTCCACCTCCACCTCAGATACCGCCGATGCGTTTCTTGGCCGGCTTCTGAAACTCACAACACTTACCCCAAGGGTCCAAAGGACCCAACTAATCAGGTACTCGGTTTTGGGATAGTAGATTTTGGAGAGTTTTTGAGCCTAATCTCTGTACCTTGGGCCAACTCCCTGTGACAGTTCGAGGGTGCGCGGTCCATGCTATCGTACAGCCTCGGGAGGGTCATTCATAACCCTCGTTCGAAGCCTGGGGTGGGTGCAGATTAATGCGGAGTGCGATTGTAGGGCATGGCAAACTTACTTGCGTGTGCTTCACTTCATAACTGTCAGGCTATTAAACTAAACCCTAAACACCTAAGGGTTTAGGGGTTTGGGGTTTAGCTGCAAAAAGGGTTTAGGGCCTGAACCTTGCTATGGTAATGTGGCGGTCGGTTTAGGGGTAGGGTACCCCCCCCCCCCCGACCAAAAAGTTTTGGTCTCTTTAATTTGGAACCGGTAGCCCCGGACAGGGGTCAGGGGTCTGAGTGGGGCTCAGGGTCTGGGTGGCTTTGATTATTTAAGTAAATTAGAAGGGGGTTGCGGGGTCGCAGCTAGGGTCTGGGTGGCTTTGATTAATTAATTAAGACAAACCTTGAGATTCCTGTCCTGTAACCTTAGGAAAGCCAGTTCAGGGAGGGGGTCGAGGGATTGGGTTTTAGGCTTAAGTATGCCTAGTTTAGGTCTTCAGGGCCAGGGTTTTAGGGTTTGGGTGGGGGCTTCAGGTGTTAGGCTTAAGTATGCCTAGTTGAGGTCTTCAGGGCCAGGGTTTTAGGGTTTGGGTGGGGGCTTCAAGTTTTAGAGTTGAGGTCTTCAGGGCCAGGGTTTTGGGTTTGGGTGGGGGCTTCAGGTCGTGGCTGACTTAAGATTGACCATCAGCAAACAGCACAGCCCCGCCCCCAAAAAATCCCCCCAGCCCAAAAAAAACGCATTAATTAGACCGCCCAAATTTTTGGTACCGGTCGGAATTAGCCCCCGAGCCGACGCATTAAAGGAGCCCATGTTCCTAAACCGACCGGCACATTATTTAGCACGCCGAAGTTTGCCAGGATCTTGTTAAAGCTGACTCGCCACCTACAGTCCCAGGATCTTGTTCAAGCTGACTCGCCACCTACAGTCCCAATTGAAGTTCCTGTTTTTGTGGTTTATCCAGCAATTATTAGGATCCTACAGGGTAACCCCAACAACGTACTAGACTGGAGAGACCCAAAAGCTCCCCCGCCAAACCTGAGGTTTATGAGCTGATACATCCGCATCACGACTCCTCCTCAGCTTGGCGCCGTATTCTGTGCATCAACCCTATAAAAGGGCACATGTCTTGCCCACAAACCCTACCTATAACACAAAGAAAAGGACCTATACATACTCAAGGTTCCCTCATAGAGTCCAATGAGCCAAGTCCAGTAATATAGAGGTGGGAGTTTCCGTATTTTGGGGTACTCTTTTCGGGTCTCCTATTTTCGGAAACTCCCATATAGATGACCAAAACATTGCTACTAGCATCTCCCTAGAGTTCCCGTATAATCTCGCGGTATTCTACAATCCAAACACAATTTCTAGGACCTAGAGTAGGCCCTTATTCCCTTTTTTTAGGGTTCCGGTTCCCTTAGAAGCCCCTTTAAACCAAAAAGGGCACCCTTTTTATTCCTAGGCTACTCTTGGGTCTAGATTTTGAAAACAGTTAAGTCGCCCACTCAGTGGGTCTTCGGGTTTGCAGCTGTGCCGCATACTACAGCAAGGCATTGGGCCTTCTGCTATGGTAAGTCGAACTTTCGTGGGGCTTTAGGGTTTCGGGGTTTAGGGTTTAGGGTCGACCCACACTGGCCGGCACCTCAGTCCGTGCTGAAAAGGGTCGACCCACAGCACGGTCGGCGCCTCAGTTCCTGGCATATGCGTAGTCCAGGTGTAAAAGGGTCGAGCTTTCGCCATGTATCGATTTTGCAGAATAGGGAATTTCCTTTGTTGTTTAATGTGGAGCCCTAATTGGTTCTGTCCAATTGGGGACCGTTGAAATCGATATCTTAGCCCCAGCTCCTTGTTCTCAATGGTTTACAAGTTAACCGTTCCAAGGTGTGGCATGGTTCTGGAGATTTCACGTTTAAGCCCTACCATGCGAAGCCCAAGCCCTATGAAGGGGAGCGGGAGTAAGTAGTAGCAGTCTTCCCTCATAGTCCGAGAAAGTCAGACAACATTGACTTAGCTTTGAGTCGCATGCCCCGTTTCTGTTTTTGCTACGGCAGCCAAGTTTGTCTGGGATGTAGGGCACATGGGTTCTGCACCCACAACCTGAGAAGCCTGAACCCACACCCTAAACCCTAAAAAAACTACCCCGGTCAGTCGCCCTCCACCACAGCCCTAAACCCTCAACGCAAACCCTAAGCCCGAACCATATGCCTCGCCTGGATTGTCCGAGTGTGAGCGCGAAGCCCTAAAAAATGACGTCCTGGCCGCGGGCCATTCCCAGCTGCACATCCTGGGGACTTGACGACGCCTAGTATTTCTACTCCTGGGAGTGCGACGTGGCTCAGGGCGTGTGCAGTAATTCGATATACCATTATGGCATGATGGCGCTTTGCATCTGGCCTGGTGTAGGCATCTGAAGTCGCATGAGGTGTTTAGAAAGTAGAAGCAATGTTTTGTTTCCGAACATGATGTGGCAAGCTTCCGCTCCAGCACCCTATACTACTGCTGATGGACAAAATCCTGCATTACCCATTATAAGGAATATAGTTCCCATAGTTTAGAGTCCTTAGGGTCATGCAGGATCTTGTCCATCAGCAGTAGTTCAAAGCCTTCAGTTTGCCGCCTGTATGAACCCCAGCCCCATACTTGGAGGATCATGGGACTTAGTAAGTAGGGTTATAAGTACCTTAATTGGGGTTATAAGTAGCTATAAGTATAGTTACCTTACTTATAACCCTAGTTACTAAGTCCCATGATCCTTTAAGTACGTTGACTCATAAACCGTGAACGCTGAACCTCAGCCCCTGAGACCTAATCGCCGTTGGCTCAGTTGTCGATCTTTTTTCATATTTTTGGTGTAAGTTTCAGATTTATATACACAGGATCCTATAAGGTAACCCTACAAAAAGGAACTGGAATGGATGCTATAGGTAGAGAACAACTCCGTTCGGGGTTGCCTTTTCGACGTAAACCTCTGTATAAACGACCATCAAAGCATTGAAACCCAGATCCAAATGAGATACGACATCAAAGCATGAGCAGTTTTTTGTGATTCCGACATTCGGCCGGTTCCCTTCAGGCATCCTTTCCAAAGCGCCCTTGCCGACATTTTCTTGCAGCCATCACTCAGTTCGCCTGGGGCCCACACCCTCAACCCTAAACCTCAAAGCCACACTAAATCTCTGTGCCCAAAATCTAATCACAGCCATAGCGGCTCGTTAAGGAGGAAAGAGCGTGGCCTGAACATCCTGGCGCTTGTCCTGTATTTGTTTCAACTCCTGCACCACCGGGCAAGCCAATGGACTGTCTTGCATCACCATGCGCAGCACCAGGAAAAGCAGTTTAGGACCTCAGGATCGCAGCAATGCACGGACCCCGTCACATAAACACCAATCCCCCTAAACCTGAAACCGATCCTAAACCCTAAACCCTAAACACCCTTAAGCCGAAAGCCCATTTTATTCGGGAGTTCTCTCTCGATGAATTGGTTGCAATGCCTGGAATCCGGTTGACGACAAAAAGATTGTGTCTCTGACCCTAGCTCCAGGTATCACCGGCAATTACTATAGGGGCCTTAATAACTATAGACCTATGCTGTTTTAGGGGTTTCCGTATAGACAAGTATAGTATAATGGGCACCCCAAAACCCCCTTCTAGCTATTAAGGCCCATATATCATAGAACCCCAGTATAGATCCCTTATAATTACTAGCCCTAAGAGGCCCCTCTAAAGGAGGCCTGTTCTAGCTATTATGGCCCATATATTGATGCTCCCAGTCTTCGATGATGCACACTGAAGTTGGAAATCCGCGCCAGGCTCTCCTTTAAACTCAAGGGTTCAGGGTTTAGGGTTTTAGGGTTTGGGGGTTAGGGTTCGGGGTTTAGGGTGCAGGGGGAATCTGTTTCAAGTATACATTTCTCATGTTATCGCCGACCACTCTCCCGTGCATCTTCGGAAACTCTGAGTCTTGCAATGCTTTAAAGTAGAAGCCAGAAAGTTGGAGCATCAATATCCTCATGCCCTTAAGGCAAAGTATTTAGGGGATCACTAATCATGTGGACTTCACTATGGTGTTGAGCGGAAGTAGTCGCATCACTATGTAGCTGTTGTGGTGTGAGCAGGTAGCGACCTAAACCCTGCTATGGTTCAAAGTGCATGGCCCCAAAACTCGAAATCCATGATTAGCCCAAGCCCCAAACCTAAACCCTAAACCCGTTGAACTTGAGCCAACCCCGGAACCTGAGCCCCAAACCCGTTGAACTTGGGTCTGTTCATCGGTACTTGTGGATGCACTCCAAAAATTCCTTATCGATATCGGCTTCCTCCAGAACTCCAGGGAGCTATTATGGGCTCACTCCTCTGAACATACAAGAAAAGTCATCTTCGGTTCGAATCAAAGGGCCTGGAATCATGAGCAGTATGACACGTAGTCTTACTCTTACTTATTCCGGGCAGGCTTCCCATTTCAACGTTGTGGGGTTTAATCTAGGATGCTGGGTTTAGGGCGTGGGATCCTCATTTGTGCAATTTGGGCAATTAGGTCATTAGGTCCTAGAATCCGTTGATCAGGATCCCGGATCCTGGGTTTAGGGTGTAGAACCTTGGATTTGTCCTAACCTTAGGGGTACTTGGAAATACTTTTTAATTTTTGGTTATGATAATCCCTATGAAACAGCTAAAATTATATCTGTTTGCTAGGGTTCTAAGTTCAATATAGTAGCTGGCGGAAGAGCGGCAAGCTACCAGGCGTCCTTGCAAGCCTGCAGCAAAAAAAATGATAGGCTTGCTATCTTTTCGCAGCCCAAATCCCATTAACAAAGCCGCGGAGCACCCTTCAACCGGTAATCCGGTAATCCCTAACTTGCGAGCCCAAACCCGAAACCTTGAAACATTTGTAAAGCCTCTGCCTGTAAAGACATGCCAAACCCGTGCAACGCCGCATCGCATACCGTAAACCCGGAACCTCGACCCGAAACCGATGAAGCCATCATCACCGAAGGCCTTAATCCTAAACCCTAAACCCCTAAACCCTAAACCCCTAAACCCTAAACGGAGCCTTGCCTGCCTGTGCGAGTGTGAGCGTCGAAAACCCTAAACCCCCAAACCCCTATAAACCCAAAACCCTAAACACTGAAGGCCTAGATCGCCAGCTTTTTGTTGGCTCAAAGGAGGGCCCGTGGTCGTTCTTAGACCCGCCCCTTAGCTTGGGGAATGCCGCGGCAAATAGCATCTTGGATAAAAGTGTGGTTTTTAGGGTTTTGGGTTTTTTAGGGTTTTTCGGGGTCGGGGTCATTACCAATAGGCCCCTATATATTTGGGCTGTGTCGCCCAGACAGTGCAAGGTCAGAAATACCAAAGCCCTGCGAGACCCCAGAAAGGCCTAATGAGGATACTGCCCCCACTCAGTAACAGTTGGATAACATTCATAATAGAGATATATTAGGCCCTTGATAGTAGCCCTATTATAGACTGTTACTGTATGGGGGCAGTATCCGATGCAGACCATTCAAACTTCAAAGGCAGATTGAGGAACTTCCTGAAGTTCCAGTGTAGTGATCCTAACTACGGGACATAGCTTCGCAACACAAGCATCGCTGGCTACCCAGAACCCTACACCAGGAATATGCTTGCTGCTTCAATCCCAGGAAACCGCAGCAGAAAGCACCACGAGACCCCGACAAAGAAAGCAGACAGAACCTTGTCCCTCAACCCTTTATTGAGGTGCCGCCGGCAGCGCGCCGGCCTTTAGGCGGCTTACTCTTGGCGCTGTTGGCGGCTGTGGCTGGGGCCTTTTGGGGATTTAGGGCATTCGGGGCTCGGATCAAAGCCCTAAACCTTTGCAGGTCTGGGGGACTTTTAGGGCTTATGTGTTTCAGGGCTTGGTGCTTTGCCGTAAGGTGGGCGCGGGGGATGTTTCAGGGTGCTTAATGCCTCCACGTAAGAAAATATGTACATCCACAAGACGCAGAAACATGTAGACGTGCATGCAAATGTACGTGAAGCCCCTGATGCCACTTTAAATTTCGAACTGGCATCGTCTACCTGCTGTTTGGTTTGTACCATTCCTGGCAGCAGCAAACTGTTAAATTTACCGACACGCTTTGTGTCAGAAACAAGGATGCAGATGAGTATAGATGGTTCGTTGCGTTCTGACTTGTCGCACATGTGCATGTGTCTATGCAAATGCATTCCCTGAGTCCGTAGCGATTCAATTCGTTTTAGTTGGGTTGAGCTGTCGCCTGGATCGTTATTTTGTGGGTATCCGTTTCTACGTGTGGTCTCCCAGAACACTCAAGAACCTCGCAACACGCACATGCGCAGACACATACAGACATACAGGTATGTACTCACCGAGGTCTGCACTTGCAAGCGCGTGATACTACATCTATGCATATAATTATATGCCTAGCTACGAGCAAACAATCAACATAAAGGTGTGTGTCACGGTTAGGTGCACGAGTTTACAGACACGTGTATGTGTCCTTCTTTATATTCATATATAGATGTATAGATGAATACTTATATCTGCGTATGTATATATATATATATATATATGTATGTATGTATGTCTCTCTCTCTCTCTCTCTCTCTCTGTCTGCGTGTGAGTGCAAAATATAAAGCGAATGGGCATTTCCGTATCGCATAGAGACTTTTGTCAGAGGCCGCGTACACGTACATCGTGAAGTACAGAGAGACCGCGCTCGGGAGCCCAGTCAGTGTGACTTTCCTTTTTTCTGGAGATTAGGATTAGGCTTTGCTGTATAGGGCTTCATTACCCATAGGCTCCAGAGTAGTTCCGTTTTGAGACTACCTTGTAGGTTTCTAACTTAATCATTATGAACATTAAAAAGGAACTAGTGTGGAGCCCTTGGGTAGATGATTTGGAGTGGCATTTTCAAGAGTTCTCAGTGCTCGAATTCGAAGAGGTGGCCCGGGATTCTATTGCGGAGGGTGGGGTTGGATCCCGCTTTCGCTCACAACCCTGAACTTAAAGCCCTAAAACCTAAACTTTCAGTAGGACTGTCCACCGGCCTCTCATACGGTAGTATACCCCCTCCCCCCCAAGCTTATTCTAATTAGTCAGTCCCGGCTCAACAATCAAGGAACGAGTTTCTTTACAGCGAACTAAGTACTAGTCGTCGTCGAACTATCAGGAGCGGCAGCACAGTTTGTCATCCGAACCTCGCACGCCTGCGTGCCAACGACGGCCGCGAGGCGGATGCTGAATGATTCGGGATTCGGGCGTACCGGGATGCTGAAATCTAGCTGCCCGAACCATGCTGTAGAAACTCGGATCGGAGAATGGCTCTGACCCGCCCTGGGCTGCAGTCTGGGCGAGAGACAGCGCGAGAGAGAGAGAGAGAGAGAGAGAGAGAGAGAGAGAGAGAGAAAGAGAGAGAGAGAGAGAGAAAAAAAAAAAAAAAAAGAGAGATGTGTGGGGGGGGGGGGGGGGGGGGGGGGCGGAGCTTGAGATAGAGCGAGCGAGCGAAAACTAAACCAACAGAGAGGGATACTCCGAAAGCGGATCATCAGATAATCAGAGTGAACAAACCCCCGAGGAAGCTGAGTTTCAGAGTCTGGGTCGGCTGACGGGGTTAAGCCCAAGGCCCGGCAGAAGCTGGGAAAGGTCGACTGAGTTGCAGGCTATTAAGGTCTGCAGGGATTATGTCCAAAACATGCCGAACCCGTAATTAGCACCATCTCCGTCCGATGTCAAAGCCTGCACCCCTCTTCAGTAATTGCAGTCCCTGGGACTCGAAACAAATATACTGTCGCCTCAAACCTCAAAAAGCCCAGTCTAGCTACTAGGGCTCTATGAATAAACCCATGATCCCAGGGCCTCCCTCGCTTTAGGGCTTGGGGTTTGGGAGTTACCGAAAATTCGGGGGGGGGGGGGGGGGGGGGGGGGGGGGGGGACTTATTTTGGGGTCCTTGTAATAAGGATCCTACTATTTAGGGTAGTATATTAGGGTACCAGATTTTCGGAAACCACCGTTTAGTTCAAGTTGAGTTGCTGATGTGCCACATAATTGCAAGGATTGTCCCATTTGTTGTGGGCTTTGGTCGCTCATAGTCCCCAGTGGTATTGGGTGGTCTCGGGCCTGTGAGACCTACATGTAGTTCAGAAGCGTTTGTGACGTGCCATTCCCTTGTGTACAAGCAATGGAGGGCTTCGGAGTTGTAGGGTGGCTGCTTTCCGAGAGAGCCCAATACCACTGAATTAAGGAATATACCTTTATATATCATAAAATGAACCCCCTTATGATTTAAGGTATATTCCTCAATTAAGGAGTATGGGCTCTCTGGGTTTGCTTTTGCAGCACTGGGTTTCTATCAAACAGCTTGTTGGTCAGCTACGTGTACCGTGTACTGGCTTGTTCCTCGCGTAGAAACATACAAGTCAACCGATCTTCCGGATGTGTGCACATACGTGCGTACTTGTGTATGTAAAGGTGCACATATAAGCATGTATGTATGGAGACAAATGCTGATAAATATGGAATTTGCCAACATGCACACACTTGCTTCTACTTTACATTTACTTAATCACCCCTGCGCAGTCCCCGCCCTGATCTGAGATCTTGCTCATTGGCACTCTCTGCGTGGACTTGGATGAGGAGAACTGTGTGCCCTAAACCCTTTGCAGCGCTAGTTTCTGAAATGATGCTAAACCGTGGCGTAAGGAACACTCGCGGGCAGTTTCAGCATTTGGGTGGTTGTCAAAATCATGGTCCCTTTTTGGGTCCCTATTATAATATGGCACCTATTATTTGGGGTACCCATTTATGTAGCTTTTGGGGGACTTCCTCGACCCGGGGTCGGGTCTCATGGGCACCCCTTCGACAAAACTCTTCAGGAACTCCCTCTAGTCTCCATTGTAGTTCCTTTTCTTGGTTAACCGGTTTTATGGTTAGGATCCTACAATCGAGATTTGGGTTAACCAAAAATTAACTACAATGGAGACTGTATAGGTCGTCTTGTTGCAACTGCCCCATCCGAGCTCGAACTCGGGAGAACAACCGGTCCAGCGCAAGGCTTACAGACAGGTTTGATACTGTATACACACGGTAGTTGCGTAGGTAACCTAAAAACTTTCCAGGCATGAGAGTTCGGGGTGTATTATCCGTTTGTCCGCTTGAACTTACAGTAAACCCCATAAAGTTGGAAACCGGATGAAGGCCAAATAGTGCTGAGATGTCCTATACATTACTCTTAAGGATTGAGGCTACGGGGTTTCCAACTTTCTGGCTTCTACTGTATAGGAAACCCTAAACGCCCTAAGCCAACACGCCATCGCGACGGAGGAGTCGGCTCGGCTCGTCACCAGCGCTCTAAATGCCCAACGCCCGGAGGTGCTCCGAAGCGAAGGGCAGGGGATAGTGCATGGGCCTGAATCATGTTTAGGGTTTAGGGTTTAGGGTTTCTGTAGGGTTTAGGGTTTAGTAGGGTTTGATTGGGGATGTTTTTATGGTATAGCCATGGCCAAACTATATTATTATGGCTTAACGAAGATGTTTGGCTTGGTTTCCCAGCTCTCGGTTTACTTGCGCCTGGACCCCCTAAGGCCTAAACCCTAAATTCCCAGGCTCCTAAACCCCAAACCCCTACATCGCAGGATCCTCCCCGAAATCCTCCAACCCGCATCTCTGGGAAGTGGGAAGATTGAGCTTATCTCCCCTTCAGGTCGAGATTCAGAACCCTAGACCCTAAACCCTAAATCCTGTACCCTCAACCGTAAACCCTAAACCCTTCAGAGAGGTCTTCAATCTTCAAGGCATTGGCCGGTAGGAGATAGGGTTCAGGGATGGGGTTCGGGGGTTTCGGGGTTGGGAGATAAAGTTCAGAGTTTAGGGTGCTGGGTTTAGGGCAGGGTCAGCGGCTGTGGCGCATAGTCCTCCAATCCAAAAACGATGCCTGTGAAGGGGCTGACTTGGCTTTCAAGCCTCTCCGAAGAGATATATCCTATATAAATATCCTTTGTTATCACCAAGCTTTATAGTGCACAAGAGGCAGAGGCTTCAAGCCATACTTGCCGGCACGTTGCTTGCAACTCGTCTTGTGCACAACAGTATCCCCTGACTCACCATGTCGTACCCCAACACTGCTCAAGCCGTAAACTGTACCGACCCAATCTCAGATCCCGATAAAATCTCCTAACTAAGGAATATGCTTCAAATCATAGTAGGATCCCAAATAGGATTTAAGGTATAAAGGGAACTCCAGAAAGTTGGAATATGGTTTCATGGTAGGATACCCTATAATTTACCATAGAAGGGTTAGGATAATCATTTTCCAACTTTCTGGCTTTTACCTTATCCCCTAAGTAAGGGATTTTGGAAAGCCTGCAGGGAGCCCCCGAGAGCCCCCAGTTCCAAACCATGCAAAAACACAGCTTACCTGGAGGGGACAAGTTTAGTAGGGATCTAATTATAAGGGTTACTATAAGGGATCTATAATGGGTACTACAATGTAGGGGCCCTAAGAATCCTGCATTACCCAGAGGGTCATACCCTACCCTTTTTTTAAGGTACCTAGTTTATGGTTAGGTTCTTGTATATAGAAACGCAGGTACCCTAAAAAAGGGTAGGGTATGACCCTATAGGTAGTAGCTGAGTGGATACACTTTACACTTTTGGGGATAATGTTACCCACTATAAAGCTGCAAGTGTAACATTTTCTGGGCTTATGACCTCAGCAACTAAGACAGTGACCGATACAATCATGAAAGCAAGAGGCACTCTTCCTTAGGTCAGGGAGCCCCCCAGACGTTCCAAAATCCCTTAAATAGGGAATATACCTTACATTTTATTAGGGATCCGCCTATGATTTAAGGCATATATTCCTCAATTAGAAGATTTTCGGAAGGTTTGGGTCCTTCTGTTGAGTCTTTGGGAAGGTGGTGATGCTCGAAGGCTCACCGCGACGAGCTCGGACCGATCCGTGCTTTGGGCACCGAATCCTCAAGCCCCATTTGGGAGTTTCCGAAAAATGGGGGTACCCTTCTGTTGGGGTCCTTATAATAAGGATCCTACCATTTGGGGCACTACATTATTCGGGTCCACCATTTTCGGAAACTCCCGTTTAACTTAGTAGCTGAGTAGATAACCTTTAGCCTTTGGGGTTTATAAAGAACCTTCCATAATTGAGAAGGTTCACTTTTGTTGGGCTGGGTAACAAGAGGATCGTGTACAGTCACCGCATGGGCAGTGTGAAGCTTCAAGCCATTCTTGAAGGCCATTTTATGGATGTAGGTTTCATGGTAGGTCTCAACTGCATCCGTGCTTTGAGGGCCTCCGGAGTCGCTCAGGCTCTGGCCAGGCGTGCAGCATCAGTCGGCGCTTTCTTGAAGGGCATGGTTGGGCTCACGAAAGGGACACGGTGTTCCGCTCACCAAGCCACAGAGTTGACCTGGCTCTTGAAGACAGGGAGCAGGCGGAGCACAAGATTCGAGCTCAGTGGCGACGGCACCTCCACACAGAGTTCAAAGCTTCTGGGCGCCGTGATGCCAATCGCAGCCACGTGAGAGCCGCGAGCATGCTGCAGCTCGCTTGCTTTGGATGGCGCATGTCCGCGAAAGTGTGCGGGTTCAGTTATGCCATAGGGCTAGGGCCGTTGATCCGGTTTAGTGCTTGGGGTCGGGGCCTCCTTGTGGTGTGGGCGTGTTTTTCGGTTTAGGGCTCCCCCCTTAGGCGTAGAGCGTGCTTCTGCATTTTGGCCGCGACGTCCAGCGCGGGCTCACTGGTCAGTCAATATTTCGCTAGGATACTCAGCCCCTAGGTTCCCTAAGGACGAAATGAACCTCAAAAGGTTTTAAGGTTCATATACCTTATAGGGATTCATAGTATAAGGGTATAGGGCCACTACTTATGAGGGTCGTTTGGTCCCCAAGTTTTTGAGCGTTTGAGCATTCGGGGGTTTGGGGCTGTCGGCTTGAGTGTTCAGGGGATCGGGGTTTTGAAAGTCCTTTGAGTTCAAAGCTCCTATAAGGGTCCATGTACCCATATAGTATATACATTGGCCTGAAAGTAGTCCCTATATAGGTACATTGTGGCAAAAGTATATACTATATTGGTACATGGACCTTTATGGAGCTCTTTTTGATGGCAGGGATCACTAGGCCTGCGTGTTCTAATGAGAACAGGGTTTAGGTATATGAGCGTTTGGGGCTTCAGGATTACGTAACATAGATCACCCAGTACTTGCTAAATAGAACATATGGAGTGGCGTGT